TGAATTATATAGCGCATTATTATTTATAAAGCTTTGCGATGTTTAGATTTTCAACATTTCTTACAATTGAACATGCCTTTTTAAAGAGATTAAAATACAAGCAGTAATTAAATTTAATTTACAAAAATCCTGATTTTAATCGTCTCGCTAAGCACCCCGCTAATTCCACGGGTAATGTAGATGTAACAAAATGTGCGTAACCCGTGAAATCCACGGGTTTGCATTTTCCAAATATTTAGCTGTGTAGTCCACGCTGCTCTTGTTTATGTTTTCATGTTCATATTTTGTTGATCTAATTCTGAATTTTAAAATAAAAGCATTTTTTACAAAAAAAAAAAATGTATATTTTAACTTTAAATTGTAGATTTAATATATATATATGTACATTTGAAATACGTAATAAACCAAACGCAATTTTTGAACCTACTTTAATAAATAACTTCGCAGCGAGAAGTTTAATAGTAAACTAAAACTCATTGGAAGACTAACAATTTTAGAGCCTTCGTCCTCATTTACTTTTATATGATTTGCTCACGAAATTTGTGAAAACTGAAATAAGGAAATCTAAGGATATTAGAAAAACTTTTCTGGGATACGTCTTTATCATAAGTTTTTTACGTTTATTAGATAGCATTGCAAAAATTATGTTGTATCTTGGGAGTGAATTCAGTAAACTCAGATAGTTATATTATATACAATTATTACGGTGTTAATATTCATTAATATACAAACACAGTGATGACTTTATGGAATGAAATTTTGTTCGCGAACAGAAAAATGAATCATAAGCGCCAATCGTAAATAAAGTAGCAAATGAGAGGAAAATAAATTCTGAATCCTAACCAGCCGCAATAAAAATTCCCTTAATTTTTATATGAATGATTCAATCACATCAACTCACAGGCTCTAAATCTAGAACAAGTCTAATCAGTATCCACACGCAGCTTTAAGCGTTTGAATCTATTTGGCTCAAATTTCTGTAACAAATAATGAAAGTCATCCTTTTCTCTTAAAACACCGAAACGTCTCATTACTATTACAAACTCAGCATCCTTTATGTTCCCGCTTCCTATTGTTTCCAATAACGATTCCAATCTGCATTGTGATTCCCTAACAAAACGATTTTCTCAAATCATTCAAATAATCCATGAAATAGACTTCCGTACTTATTATTTTGAAATGCGTCTATCTGAGTCTTTATAATGGGATTTTATTTTTGTACAAATACATTGATTTAACCCTTTATCTACCGCATTATGATTTACTGCAAATTTTTTCATGCAATATTTTTTTTGAATTACAACATTAAAATTTAAGGGATATAAACAAACAAAATAATCAACTTTGGAAAATTTAAAATTCCTTAAAGCTAATTAATTAAATTGGTACTTTAAGGTACCATCAGTCCGCAAATGTCTAAAATATTCTCATAATACAAAAAAGCCGAATGACTTTTTAATGCAGTTTTAACTCTTAAAAATGCTAAATAACCAGAGAACACTAATAGTTTTCAGTACAAAATACTTATTTTTGAAGATTATTAAAGTTTTATAATGTGTATTTACTTTTTTACACACCTAAAAAAAGCTTTCACTCAAAACTTTAACTTAATGATATTTAAAAAAATAGTCTTTCTTTTATTAATACACAAAACTCTTCATTACACGTTACGCATTTTGAGTGAGATTATGATTAAATGTTATTTAAAATACTGCATCCTGGGGTAGGAAATGTTATATATTCTAAGCATAAACAACTGCACTTTGAGTCTCTTAATCGTCATCTTAAGAATCTAAAGAAGATTCCAACAGATTACTTGTTGTGACTTCTTCATCTGTTAGTACTGATTTCAGATGGTAGGTTCTGTAATAAATCCACAGCCTCTTGAAGACTGAACTTCTTTTTCCAGACTTTCTAAGAAAAGGGAATAATAATAATAATATCACATATAAAATCTCCAATTATTATTGGATCTCAGTTACACATAAATTTTTTTTAAATATTGTTAATTTTTAAATAAGAATAAATACCTCATTCAATTGTGTGGGAAGAAAAGCAAGCTCATATTCAAAGTTCAAATTTTTTGAATACGTTAAAATAAAACAATAAAAAAGCAAAACAAATAAGTTAAGCTGAAAATAAATGCCAAACAAGCATGTCTTGCACTAGAGTGATGACATTACAACACACACACACACACACACGCACACACACACACACACACACACACACACACACACACACACACACACACACGCACACACACACACACACACACACACACACACAACAATACACACACACACACACACGGACACACAAAAAAACCTAAGTTCTTGCTCTAACGTCCAGTGTAATGTCGGTCCTTATAAGTGCCACTAAGTTATTTAACTGTAAATTAATTATTCATACTGTTCACTTAAAATAAATAGTCGAATCCTTTTCTAAGGTTTCTTCATTAACATGCAAAAAAAGAAAAGAAAAAAAGGCACTTTTTGACATTAACCACTTTTTCGGAACAAAAATGACAAGCTTCGCTATCCGATCAAAATGCCATGGAAAACGCAACTTCTGCTACAAAACTATTCACCTTGCTCTCTAAAATACTCATCATAGATCCCGTGCTGCCATATATTTTGGAAGAGGGGATTTCAAAGAATGTATCTGCTAATTATTGTAAGAGTATTCGTAAAAATGGTTATATATATTCTATGTAATTTTAAAGTGAGTGGTACCGTCGGTAAAGGGTTAAATAAATACCTGAAATGATTATACACGTTAGAAATCATAGATTCTTCTCAGAACATTCTGCTATGTCTGGGGTTTTCTTGTGAGGAGGCGGTTGATTCCCCCTGATGTTCTTAGACTTTGTACAGATTTATGGACTCATAGATCAGGTCTAGTGAAACTAGACCAGATGGGGATTACTACCACCACCAGAAATCATGGATTTCTTTCAAGAAATTGAAAATACACTCAAAATACATTGAGTTATTGGTTCCATATATTATTCTCAAAACTTGCTTATAATATATTTAAAAGAAGCTTTAAACAATCGTAGATGATTTTGTTTGTATAGATAACTATCTTTTTTTTAATATTTAGAAATTGAATTATAGTTTATGCAAGGAAAAATAATTATGCTGTTATATAATTTCTGAACCCTTTATTCCTTTGGTCAGGTAGATGATTATATACATGATATTTTTTTGTTGTTCCAATAATTCAGCTCAACCTTTTATATATTTTGATTTATTTTCTTAGATGACACGGAATACATGTATAGAACACAAAAAACTTTACATAAATTCCACAAGCTAAAAAAATATAACTATCAGAGGACTTTCAGTTCCATCTATTCATTTTACATTTAATTTACAACATATGCATTCATTCAAAACCAAAAAATTAATATTTTATTTCTAAAACGAAATATACCTTAAGTCTTTTTAAATTTAGAAACTCGATTTCTGTTATTACAAAATTTTATCTTTTCAAAAATCACTTCTCTTTATTTTTTCAAATAAAAATCAACGACATTTATTTGTATATGATTGTATCAAAGTTCCTTTTTTTAATATTTCCTTTCTCATTTTCGTCATCAGCTCTCTTCAATCGCAAACCATTTCATTTGTTTCAAATCCCTCTGTATTTCACAGTATTTCCACTTTTAGGTTTTGTAAAAAAAAGGAAAGCATTAAAGAGATCAACAGGCATTTCGGACAGCTTTTTGATAAATGTTGAAGAGGAACCTCTTTTTACTTCTTTCTCAGAGCTTCTAATTTTCCGCTGACTTCAAGTTGACCTGCACTTGAACAAATAGGTTTCTGAACTGTACGTTACATTTTCTCTTCATTCTGTTTCTCTTTACTCTTGATTCATTATTTTCTTCGTCTTTCCTGCTATAAATGAGCTACTTTTACGGTACAAATGCGACATTAGTTTCACGGGTGTCAAAAAAGTCTGCAGGAACAAAATTAACTCGTTCCTTTTCGGCAACTCTTTACTCTTTTAAAGCGTTTCGAGTAAATTTCTTTCATCAGATGAAAAGGGGAAAAATATTTTATGGTAGACCATAAATAAAAAGCACTTTTTTCCTCTGTAACATAAAGACTTTAGTTTTTACTTTCTATAAGTTAGATGACTTTAGGATCACAAAAGCCCAGGTATATTTTAAATAATTATTTTTAAGCATCTAAACATATAAGAAAATAAATATTCCCCTTTTACTTTAAAAAATATCCAGTTTTAATTTCTATAAGTCACTTATCTGTAATTAGTGAGTTTGAAATGATTATAATGTGAAATATGTATCATGAAAAACACAATTAATATTTTAAATCATACAATTTGTTTTACCACTTAAGATGTATCCGATTCCAAGAAACATTGGTAATTTATACTCAATAAAGGAATCGATTGCATTCTCAGAACTGTCTATTCACAAAGAAAAAAACACGTGAAGCACAATTTAAATTATTTCACCTATTACCCTAAAAATTAACCACTAGATGAAGTTCTCTCTGGGAGCTCTGTATTTTCTCTGAAATGTCCTTACATTTTTTTGGAGGACATGAGTAGTGGTCTGTAAAATTCGCAGTTCCAAAATGTTTATAATAATAAAAGAGCTCTTGTATTTTCATTTTTATAACCCAATTACACACCATGCTATACAAAAACAAAGAAAACAACTTAACAGAGCAAGTAATAATAAAAGAAAATTAAGTGAATTGCTACTTAGGTCCACAAAAAAATTTTTACTTTAGAAACTTTTTACTAAACATTTACAATTAATATAAATATGTACATACATATAACAGAATCACTTTATTAAGTGATAAAATAGAAAGATATTTTCCTTGCCATTTTTAATTTTCATTTCTATATAGGGTGTTGGACTATTTTTTGTGTGTTTGTTTCTATTTATTCATTAATTAAATTTAATTATTCTAATAAAATTGTATAGTAAAAAAGAAATCACACTTTCTCAGAAATTAGGTCATCCCAGGTGGGATACCAACCCATGACCTTTGGATTAGAGGTCCAACGAGCTATCCACTGCACTACAGGGATGCAACGAACAATTTAATTAATGAACTCATATTTGAAAGAACTGTATTAACATCAAGTGTCATTCGCTACAAGTTTAAAAAAAATGTAGTTTACTTTGAATGGATGAATAGAAAGTATTTTATTAACTATTGAAAATTGGAACAAGATATATATATATATATATATATATATATATATATATATATATATATATATATATATATATATATATTATATTATATTTTTTTGCGTATCATTTATATTTTACACTAATATTTATATGAATATTTTTTATGATTTTTTAAATATGTATCTATCTATCTATATCTATCTATCTATCTATCTATCTATCTATCTATCTATCTATCTATCTATCTATCTATCTATCTATCTATCTATCTATCTATCTATCTATCTATCTATCTATCTATATATATACATATATAAATATATATATATAAATATATATTTCTTAATATCCTATCATAATTAATTTTATGCGGATCTGTTTTCACTCCCTTGTATTTGGCGGGAAACACATTACTAGTTGATGCTCTCCCGACCTCTACGTCTACACTGCGAATAATAGTAGGCTATATTTTTGTTCATATGTTATTAGTTCAATGATTTTTTAATATTTAAATTCCTCATATGAAATCCTTTCCTTTCTTCTTGGTACATAGTATGACAAACTACAGGTGAAGGTTGGCAGACTCCAAAACATGTTTAAACCTGCAATCCTGGTTCCTAAGAGCAGGAGTTTTGTCATTATACTACTGTACCTTCTTCTACCTATTTATAGTTATCTGAGGTTTATAACTATCTGTTTATTTTTATATTTTCGTTAATTTATTTGTATATATATATATATATATATATATATATATATATATATATATATATATATATATATATTTGTTTTTATATTTTGTATTATTGGTTTTTATATTTTATATATATATATATATATTGGGAGAGAGTAAACTAATAGTGTAGGATTTGAAAAATATAGAGGCTAAAAAGAGATGTCATTTGTCGTTTGAAGGTTATTGGTTCTAAATACAACGCTATATTACTACTTTCATGTCTTCCCTTCTTTGTGATTGAAATGAGGTCAAACATTATCTCTCAAAACAGTTCTGCTTCATCTGCGTTAAATATTTGATCGGCCCAATATCCATCAAATTAATAATTTTGGATATTTTCTAGAAAAAAGTGTTAGTTTCTTTTCCCTTTGTTAACATAGACTAACACAGAAAAAAAAAAATATTTATTTCATTTTTAAGCATAATAATAATGATAAGATTCTTTTGTTATGCATCCGAAATCGAAATTAACTTTTACCCTTATAAAGAAGTACTTCAAAAGTTATTGGAAAAAATATAAACTTTATTAATAAATGCTTAGATCTTGCAATCCACTTACGTATGTATTTTATGTAACATGATAAAAAAACGCTAACTGGGATGCATTGCATGCTTTTCCTTTTGTCTTTAAGGTATTATATAAAAGTTCTTGAATTGATACCTATTTCGTATGCATTGGAGAGAGATCTTATACTTCGTTCTTAATACCGAATTAAAGGCTTAGAAATAGAGCTTAAATTGGTAAGGTTCGATTTTGATGACTGCGGTTTCTCGAAATCAATACGTTGTTGGCCAATGATAATGGCTTTCCTGATCCATTTAAGTTTAGAAAAACAATCAATTCTTATTGTGATTGCGATGAAAAATAAAAATACTACTTTTGATTAAATCCTATAAATAAAAGCTAATAAAATCGACTGCAATTATTAAGGATTTTCAGGGATATTTGCTTTATTTTTTTATGAAAACTATTTTTAAATTCGTGGTTTTATTCTGCCTTTAAACCGTTTGAAGCGCGGTGTTGTCAAAGGTTTAAATATTTAGAATTTCATGTCTAAGAATCAGAGAAATTTAGTAGAGTAGACAGATAGAGAGAGAGAGACAGAGTAGATTCTGTTGATGGCACTATGCCATTAAAAGCTTTTAATTCATCTATTATGACAGTCTTTTGAATTTTTTAGACGCTTTGTATTTTAAGTAGCCTGCGTAAACATAGAAAAAATCACATAAAAATGTCTAGCAAAACTTTTTGGGTCACAAAAGACTTCAAAATAATCTTTATGCTACGTAAATGCAGGCAAAAGTTTAGATTTACAATATTTATTTAGGTGGTTTCCTTGTGAAACCTGTGTCTTTCTAAGTTTGTGGTCTTAACCAACCAAGATGCTTTGTATCTGCTCTCTGCAGGAAAATCACCTTAATAGTTTTTGGTGCTTAAGATTGTGTTTTTCAATTTTTATAATAGCAATGTATAACAACAATGTATAACAAAGTAACAATAATGTAATATAAATGTTTAATAAAGTAATAACCTGAACTGTTACTTAATTCTAAAAACTCCCATCCCATCTTTACTTGAGTTTTTGAGCCTCTATAGATTTCATGTACTTTGATCTCTTTGTGATAGGGCTTTAATAATCGAGAACACATGATTCAACTTAAATAACATAGCACATGGACTGCGACTGTGACAATTTGGTTACCGTAAATATTATAAAGAACTGACTATGTTTAACAGATAAAATCTTTCTTTTTACAACATTTTACAAAATAATATGTATTTACTCCAAATTAAAAGAAATTCCCAACCAAAATTCACATCCATTCGTAACATCTACAGAAAAGAAAACGAGAAATTCTCTCAAATCAAAAATATCTACCCGTATTGATTAAATTTAATTGAGTGTGTGTGAATAGTTTCCATATAAATGCAGAAACGTTTACATATTCTTGACAATATTTATTAAATATTAAAAAGAATAAACATTTTAGAAAAATGTATCAACAACTTATTTAAGATTTAAAATATTACCTGATGTTTTGAAATTATTTTTCATTTGAAATGTCTGTAGTAAACAAACTGTACAATGAATGTTCTTGTTTGTCATTTCAGAGGAAAAATATTCTTTTTCGCAATTAAAAATATTGTGAAATGCGGGGCATAAAATATTATTAATAAAAATAGCTATCATCCGTTATTAATTCGACACTTTTGGAAATTTATTGGCTCTCTTCAAATAAATACCAAATAAAAGATAAGCATGATTTCAAATTTTTCTGTAAAAAAGTTTTATCCATGCAAAGAAAATCTATCAAAGAAGAAATCATTTGAAACTTACGACTTACTAGTAGCAATCAACTAAATAATGAACTAAGATTTACAGATTTAAAAAGCTAAAGTCATAATATTTACTTACTGTCAAGGCATGCTCTATGATACACTTTGTGAAGCCTAACGAAACATTTAACAGGAAATGAATGAAAATACTTTGTTAATCTTAAAGAAATATGAGAGAGAGAATACAAAATAATTGCAACTCAGAAGATTTATTTACAGTTAAAAATATGGTAAACAAATATTGTTCTGAGAATAAAAAGAGAATTCAAATAAACCTTTCGTGAATATTTGTTACGTTTGAACATTAGAAATAATCGGGAAGACAATGCTAAAATCCGCTCATCATATTAGAAATATTTTGCATCTATTATTTAGAGAATTTTCATTTATTTTTTTTAGCAATGTTTTTTTTTCTTTATTCCCAAATACTACAGCACATGAAACCCGACAGTCATTCTTCAAAAACTGAGAGAGAGGGATTGCATATTTTTTTTCAAGACGTACCTACAAAATCTGACGTATCCAAAAGGGACTATTGTACCTGTCATCTGCTGCAAAGATCTGTTTCTAAGAACAAACCCGACACGATTGATGGACGTTAGAAATAGTGGAAGAAGAATAACAAGCAAGTATAAATGGAAAACTTATAATAAAAAACTACTTTTTTTAGAAAGTATGATACAGATTTATAATCCATACGTACGGTAATCAGATAGAACATTTAAAATATAGTGTTTACAATTTCAATAAAAAAATTCCCTTATGGTTTATATGGTTTATGGTAGAAGTCTAAGTTTTTTTATGCACATCTCTTTTTTTATTTTTGAAGCTACTACCATTTTTATACCCGACGTATAACGTGCACCTATAAATTTGGTTCTTGTTTTTTGTGTTAAAAATGCATGTTGTACGCCGGATTTTACGATATTATTATTTTTGAATGTGTTTTTGATTATAAAAGAAAACAAGTATTTGTTTAGTTCTTTTGTTTAAGAGCATATTCATAAATATTATTAAATACATAATGTTCATACTATTTTAGCACACAATTAAACATTTTTTCATTTCTAATAGTTTATTCTGACTATTACGTTTTAAAGCTAAAAGCACATGATCATATTACAAAGTATTTCAAATGAATTGAACAAAATATCCAGTTTTCGGGTTGAAAAAACAACATAAAAAGAAATGTTCAAAGTTGACATAATCATTGCAATCCCCTGTTTCATTCAGAAAACCGTCCGAACAAAAATTCAATAGCCCGAGGATAAGAAAAATGGTTTACTTTTTCAGGTTTCTGTTTATCTTCCATATAAAAATACTTCTTTTTTCTCGTTCTTTTAGCCTCATTTAACAGCTTAAGTATATTTTCTTTCGGAAAAGAATTTTTGTCTTTTTCCGCATAGATAGAAGTTTGCGATATATTTTATACTTTAAGTAAATCTTTTGTGAATTTAAAACAAGCGATTTTCTAAATTGCTAAAAATTATTATTTTAGTATTTAATTTTTTATTTAAGTTAGTATACTTTAACATGAAGGAAATAAAAGGAAAATTCTTTCGGATTAATCACTTGGTTTATAGACACAATAAATCTTAAGTAATTTTTAAAGGTATTTAGAATTAAAGGCAATCAATTTTTCTAATAATGAAATTTATTTAAGTTTAGTTTCGAACTTATAAATACATACCTCATTCTTGATCCTACGTAAATATTGTTGCTAACAAAATAAAATTTAGTTGCAATGTAGAAAGTTCGATTAAAAATATGACTCTGAGCTTAAAATGTAAAGCCGTTAAATTTGAAACACTTAGTAA